AAGATTCTCATTCATTTGTATTTCTTAAAATACAATTTTTGACTATTTCTGTATTTTAATACGCGAAATCCGTCGTACAATGAGTCTTAAAAAAAGAATTCTAACTCGAATTTTTTAAAAAATTCAATTATTTCATTAACATTTTTTATTTTTACGATACAAATTTCTCAATATAATTTTCATCATTTTATTGGGAAATTTTATATGGAATATGATATCAAAAAATTTTGAAATTTTACATGCGAAAAAATCATATCCCATGTAAATTTTTGGATGTAAAATTACATGGGATATGATTTTTTTAGACATAAATTATTTATTGTAAAATTTCTCCCAACTTTTTTGCAAGTTCAATTGTACCCCCTAGCATTTAAGGTCTGCGTCCGCCCCTGAATCCGCTGTAATATTCTTTATACTTGAGTTTTCAAAACCTCAATGGGAACACATTTACAGATTCCTTACTTGCAACCACACATAATAGAATATGTATCTGATTTAGCGAAAAAAGAGAAAAAAAAACATATCATGTATCAGGCAGATATGAAACCAAATGGAAGCTATATGAATTATACATAGAGGACAAATGGAAGCTATATTTCAGGATGTTCCAGTCATCCTGATTCTTACCTTGCGTGTCTTTTAAACAATATATTCACCGACAACTTCCACAAGCACAGATGAAATTCTAAGATTATACACCAGGAAACGGGGTTTATTGATACTATTATGACCCGAAGATGATTATTTTTGAATTATTCCAATGCCTGCAAAATTCAAACATGGACTCAGATTTTCAAATTTGATTTTCCGTTATTGTAGCTATGCAATTTAGTGCTTGTTTGATAGGNCATATATTCAAAATTTCAGTTACAAACTCTATAAATGGAAAAAGCTTCAACCTCAGTAATTCAGATAATTTTTTGGGGTAATATGTAGTAAATACATTATATGATATCTTTTTAGTATGTTTTGAAATATTTTATATTTCAAAGGCACATATGAATTTTTTCCATATTATATTTCATTCAATCTTTAATAATCGACGTGCTAAAGTAATTTTAAAATGTCTTATTACATATATGTTTATTTATTTATCAAATAATTGTATTTCCAGATACTTACATTGAGATAAATGTTGATTTTACGTTTTATTCAAATGATAGTAATATATTAAATTTACTGTCTCACCTACCGATTAATCTATATTAATTGATATAAATAGTTTACTGTTTTTCAATAACTGAATATTCATGTGTCTGATTAAATGATTTGTCATATTTATGACTAGATAATTTAATAATAGATAATCTGGCAATAAACTATATTGATAATTCTAATACTATTTGATAAGTTTTTCTCCTGAAATTTATACCTCTTATTTTCAGGAGATCCATACAATTCCAATGCTCATTTTCTCTACCCTGTTATATGCTATAAAAGCATAAATTACGTGCCTAATCAAGAACCTACTGTACTTGCAGAACTGGCAAATCTGTATTGAACTAGGATGTCGCTACACATATGACTCTAGTTTCCACAATAAAAAGGCTTCTCGAAAAGAGAAAAAAAAAAGAGAGAGGAGATAATGAGAACTTAACTCCGCATTCATTAATGAAAACTTCGCCCGTCACATTATGCTTTCACGTTCAGGTGTCTTTGGCAGCAAGATGCAATTCTCGGAACAGGTTACAAGATGTATCCCAAAGATCCTTGGAGAGTTTCGCATCATAAGAAAGAGCAGATGAATTTAGAGTTCTACCATTTCCTCCAAAGAAGTATACTCCTGATACTTCCTAAAATGACAACAGATTGACAAAAAATAAGATTTTCATGGACTTCTTTTGTACATTTCATAAGCTCCAGCTATATTAACTTAATAAACTAAACTAATGGTATACCATGCAGTACGGTGCTGCACATTACCACTAATAAGATTTTTAACTTCTTTTACTCTTATTATACCTATCTAGTACCGTTTCATCCAACATGCCTGGCAGAAATTCTGTTAGCCTCAGTATTAACACAGACATTCCGTCAGAGATTACAAGGATAAGAGACTTAACAAATTGTAGGAAGTCAAGAAAATAACGTGAAAAAAAGATTTGCATAAGAGATCATCATTTAGAAACCGAACACGGGATTAGTAAAAATAAATTATACATGGATAAGCAGCGTGTGATTAGGATACGAAATACTTACTGGAGGAGCAAGGGCAGCATCAAGAATTGAGCATACTGCATTTTCAGGAGATTGGAGAAGGCCCAAAAATTTCAAGACTACATATGACAATTGTGCAATGCCTGAAGGAATTTCTCTCATAATATTGGTTTTCACAGCTCCAGGATCCACAGCGCTTTAGCATCAGGAAGGCCAAAAAATTCAATTAGGCAAATTAAAAAGCACACAACCACAGTTGCACAGGTGCCATTAGAAAAGAAGGAACTTAAGTTCGAAAAACTATTATGACGTTGAAGTAGGGCAGTGTTAGTTTACAGAGAAAACAACCAAAAGATTGAAGAAAGATGGATGTTATTCATAGTGACCTATTTGTTTTTCTTCATCCTTTTTGGGGTGAATCCAGAATCATACTTAAAACAAAGAAAACTTAAATGAGAGTTAAAGTTGATCTAATTATTTTAAGGCTAAAATAGCTTTACCAACAAACATAAATGACAAAATACCCGTGATTTCTATAAATAGACCATTATCTGCTGATAGCTATTGATCAATGCGTGCACTTTATTTGTTGCTTGGAGTAATTTAAGATAAGAGCATAATTAACTCCTTTAGTCCAACACACATGCAATGCTTATCAACTCTAACCACAAATAATCATATTGCATAATTAACTTAAAAACACACTCAAAACAGACTACAAGGAAAGTTAGAAGGGGGGTCAAGAAAACCCAGAGAAGCGTTAGCCTTGGACACCAAATGAGAATATTGCTCAACTAACATTTTGATTTGAGTCTCTTCTGGTTGTTTAACAAAGGAATGGCTTGCAACTAGTGGTGTCAAATGAGCTGAGCGGCTCGTCGGCTCGCCCGCTCGGCTCGTACTGTTCACGTCCACAAGCCGCTCGGGCTCGTCAAAAAACGAGCCCGAGCAAGAGCCGAGCGGGCTGGTGGGCTAGACGAGCCGA